CCCCAAAACCCCAAAACCCCAAAACCCCAAAACCCCTCAGACTATTCCTTCGATTGAAAACATGATATAATTGTCTCAACTAGTCCTATTATATCCTCATTCTTGAGGTTTACCTAACTTTGATGATTCCATGAATCAGCAACATAATGCTACTGAAGATTGATAGAAACTGCCTACAGTCAATTTTGAGAGTAAAATTAGTCACCATTAAGCTTAAGTTTCAAAACTTTTGATCAATACATGCTGAGTTTGGAAGAATTATGATATAAATTATAGAATATAAAGCCTTCAACAGGTACTTCTTATCTACTTCTGCAACGAAGAAGTACCCAGGCATGGCTTTGTTGAGGAATTCACACGTTTAAAGATTTAGGAGAAGCCTTGTAAACATTCATTGATCTCATCAGAAAACTCATTTCCTCTTGGTGAATTACTTCCATCTATACTGGACAAGGAGTCTTGAGGACTTTGATCTTCTAAGATGGCCACTCTAATGCTAGATTCTGTCACAGAATCTAGACCACGTGATGATTCATGAGCATAAGGAGCTTTTGGGATGGCTAGATGTCGTCCATTTTGGTGACTTCCCTTCCTTAATTTAATATTTTCCGAAATTTCTTTGGTAGATTTTGGGAAATAACCCTTCGGGTTTTTAACCCCTACAGATTTGGTAGGCAACTTAGGTCTATTGCTAAATTTTTCACTATTTTCCTCATGAAGAATATTGTCATGATAGTGAATGATCTTTGAAGACTTGTGTGTTAATTTAACAGGCTCTTCAATAAAAATATTTTCAGTTTCTTTGTTATCAGCAAAATCTAAGAGAGTAAGATTCGTCCTCATCTCAGCAATTTCAGATCTCATTTCTTCAACTTGGCTTTTAAGTCTCTCATTTTCCGTAATTACCGTCGAAATTTTTCGATTCGTTACAAAATTGTCACACAAATACTGAGCTTCATTTAGGGCTTCTAATAAGGAAGGATCGCCTCTCGCATGTTCAGTTATAAGTGCATCCACTCTGGCCCACTTAAGCTCTTTTTCCTGGAACTGACACTCCTTGTGCTCTAAGAGATCCCTCAAAGAGTTAATCTTTGCTACCAGTTCACGTTTCTCTATGAAATATTCGTTCTTGTTCTGATCAATAAGTTTTTGAAGGATTAGATTATTATCCTTATCCTGTTGTTTCAGGTCATCAATTTGAACGACTAGACTTTCGATCGTATTTTTGTGTATTTTAATACTCTCCTCAAGCTGGGAAATCTTGGAAAGAGACTTCAAGTACAGTTTTTTTGTAATTGGCTGTGCTTTCGGTGAATTGTTCATCAAAATTTTAATATATTTTTGCAAATTCATTAGATTTTGACTATTTAGGGGTTTTGGGGTTTTGGGGTTTTGGGGTTTTGGGG